AATGTTTATAGCAGCACAGTTTGTAATAGCTAAAGCTTGGAAACAGCCCAAGTGCCCATCAACTGGAAACTGGATAAAGATGTGGGTTTTTAAAAAATAAAATGGAGTACTACTCAGCCATAAAGAATGACAAACTAGAGACATTTATAGCTAAATGGATGCATATTGAGGGCATACTCTTCAGTGAAATAAATAGGACATATGTGTAAATACTGAATAGCTTCTCTAGTGTGAGAAACTGAAAGTGTAAATAAGGATTAAAACGAATAATTGATAATTTGAAATAGGAAAAGGTCCAAAGGGGTAGGGGAAGTGGGAGGGGAAGGGGAAAGGAAAGAAGGGAAAGGAAAAATTATGAGAAAAGGAAAAAATGGAAACAAAGTCTCTGTAAATAGAGAAGGGTGGAGGGGGTGAAGGGAGGGCAGGGGAATGGGGAAAAAATAAGAACTAAGACACATCATGTATGGCTACAAGCACCCAATGATAAATGTAAACGTATTGTATACCTAAAATGTTCCAATATAATTAATGAGTAAAAAAGATGTGGGAATAGGCATGTTAAAAAAGAAAGAAAGAAAACTGTGCTCTCATCACAGAAATTAACTACAGTGTCCTGCATAAGAACAGGGCAAGCCAGGGATGGTAATGCACACCTGTAATCCTAGCCCTCAGGAGGCTGAGGCAGGAGGATCACTGTGAGTTCAAGGCCAGCCTGAACTACAGAGCAAGATCTTATCTCAAAAAACAAAACAAACCACAGGGCAGTGGGATTGCATTTTGGGAAAGTTTCCATCCTAATGGCTGCTATAAATCAAATTGTTGCAGTGGTTCAGGTAGATGAGTTATTTCTAAGAAATTCATTCTCAAGAAACTGCGAGCTGGGTGTTACGGTCCATATGTATCATCTTAGCACTAGGAGGCTGAAGCAGGAGGATCATAGGTTCAAGCCCAGCTTGGGCAATTTAGTGACTTAGCAATATCTCAAGAGTATGAAAAGGGCTAAGGATGTAGCGTAGTATGAAGACCCTGGGTTCAATCCCCAGTACCATCGTCAAAAAAGAAAAAACCCTACCTGGGAGAATAAATGAGGCCTGTACATCTCAAGGCCAAGAGTCGCAGCCCTGAGACAGTGCTCTTGACAAAGGCACGGAGTCTAGCAGAGTGAGGTTCACCATCTCCCGCCACCCTGCATTACTCAGCCTGTCTTTCATTTTAAGGTCAGAAGTAACATCCCTGTCTCTTTCCCCCGTCTTCCGTCGTCTTGCTAGGTGAGGCGAAAGGCCTTGCAAGAAGAGATCGATCGGGAGTCGGGCAAGACAGAAGCTTCTGAGCCCAGGAAGTGGACGGTGAGTTTGGTGCCAGGGTCTCAGAGGTGCCTGCTCCCCGGCCAGGCCTCTGAGGAGCTCCAGGCCACTGGCTGGGCTGCCTCGGCAGCATTTAGTCCTGAGCGACTTTCCTTACTTTGAAAGGGGTGTGTGCCTCCCTCCCCTGGGGAATTGGCTGGGCGAGAAGAGCTGCCTAGACCTTTGATTCCAGCTCTCTTTGGGTGTGGGGTGTGGGGTCCTGTGGATTAATCACTGAGGACACATTTCAAGCTCTTTCCAGCAGTGGGCAGTGTCCTCAGGGCTCTAGGAAGGGCTGGGAGGCAGAGGTGAGAGGGGAGCAGTGGCAGACCTCTCTTGGGACTGGCTTAAGATCCAGTCTGAATGGCAAACGTTGGCCCTGCCCGAGAAGACAGGACAGGTCTGAGGGCAGCTTTTGGGCCATGAAGCTGTGGATGGCGATCTGGGACCCTGGAGGGTTGCTCTGTGTTTCCCCATTCTTTGGTTATTCAGCTGAATAACTTCACCCCATTTTGGAGCTGAGTGCTGCTTTGGATTAGAAAATCTGAGATGAGTTACTGGCCCTAGCTCTTGCTGATCTGAGTCTCTGGGCAAGCACCTTCCCTCGCTGCCTCAAGTTTCCATGCCTGTGAAAGCAGCCTTATGCCCCTTCCTGAGCTAAGCAGAGCTGATAGGTCACCCCGATGGAGTAAGGGCAAGTGGCTATACTGGGGAGGACCTGATGGCAGGAGATCTGGGGCTGGGATCTGCTGTGTCCTCCACCTGGCACTGTCCCCAGGACCTGGGTCGTGTGCCTGTTTAGGCAAGTGTGTTTCCCGGCTGTCAGTGGCCAGGCTGGCAGCTGGCAGCCTTGGGATGACCAGCTCACCAGGCACAGCTGGCTTCTATCTCAGGTCACCTCTGCTCTAAACTGCACTGAAGCTATACTGACTCCCCATCTGGGCCACCGTGCAGTGACCCCTTGGTTCTGATTATTCTCAAAAAGCCAACCTAGAAAAGTGTGCAGGCCTGGCATTTGGCTCACAGGTGGAAAGTTCCTGGGTAGGCAGAGGTCCACAGCCTGGTGGGCGTGGGGCAGGAAGAATGGCTGAGGACCTCAGATGTGCCAGGAATTGTGTGCTGGGTTTGGGGGTAGGGAGTGACACCATCTTGTACATGAGGACATGAGCTCAGAGAGGTGGGGTGACTTGGCCAGAGCTCTCAGGCGGGGCTTTGTCCAAGCCTGTGACTTCAGTCACATCTTGGGGAGCTGGGTTTCTTGCCTCTCCCATTTTCTTGTCCATGGAGATTTTTGTGTGGGTGCTTGAGTGCTGTGGCTCGAATTGGGACCTCCAAGGCCCTGGGCTGGCTCAGCTGCTGACGTGGTGGTGGGACCGACCCTTCTTCACTGTGGGCCTCCCTCCCACCCAGTGTAAAGGGCAGCACTTCCGAGAAGGGAACTGCTTCCCCTTCCCGGGTGCTCCCCGTCACCCTTCAGGCGATGGCTGAGCAGCTGGCTGGTAAGGGCCTGGGGTGTTCGAGGTTCACGCTGTGTTGTCTCGGAATGGCCGCCATTAATAAGGCAATCTGTGCTCAGGGTCAGTGGCACTCTGCCTGGCATGTTAACTAGCTGAATTGCTTTGGATTAAGGGAAAGTAACTGCTTTTTTTCTCCTAACGTAGGGGCCTCAGTTTGGCCAGTGGGATACAGCAGCTTTTGAAAGCAAGGAACGGAAACTGAAATTTCTCAAACTTATGGGTGGCCTTAAGAATCGGTCCCCTTCGTTCAGCCGCCCCCCTAGCATGACTGCAAGACCCAACATGGCCCTCAGCAAGGCGGCAGCGGACACCCTGCAGCAGAACTTGCAGCAGGACTACGACCGGGCCATGAGCTGGAAGCACAGCCGGGGCGCCGGCCTCGGCTTCTCTGCCTCCCCCAGCAGAGTCTTCTACATCGACAAGAATGCATCCAGGTCTGTCAGGCTGGAAGATTAAACGCTAGTGTCTTCTACCCACACAGCCCAGGTGGCTTGTCTCGGTTTTGCAGATGAAAGCCACCTAGCGGTGCGCAGGATGGAGCACCTGTGGAGACCAAGGACAGATGGGCAGCTCACATGTCCCGGGAGCAAAAACCTTTGTTAAACCTTCATCCCTGTGGTGACACGGGCATGTAAATAATGGCAGCTGACAACTGACCTTTGTTGAGGGTATAGTATGGCCCAGGCAAATACTGTTTTTGCATTACTGTATTTAATTATAAATGGGTGCTATTCATGAGGCAGCTGAGGTTCCAGGAACAAGTAATAAAATTGCCCAGGGCCCCTACCATTGAGTGCCATGTGTTAAAAGGCGGTGCCCTGAGCCCTAAATCACTAATCACTTTGAATGTCTTATCTAGGGACTTTCACCCAGAATACTTGTTGGGGACTAACTGATGGGGGAAACAAGTTTTATGCATGTGTGATTCTCAGGAAGTGGAATTAATGGTAATAGGGGATTGGCAGGGTTACTTGCCTTCCCGTTTGTAATAACTGCACATAGACATGAGGTGCCAACAAGAAGATATGGCCACCCTTTCTCTGCTGCAGTTGCCGTCCTTCCCTGAGCTTGGATGTGCATGGATTTGATGTTTCTAGGTGTTTGTTGGACTCTGAACAAAGCATTCTAGAGAGCAGTTACATGAACTGATGGCAAAGGACCCAGTGACTTCTGTGGGGATGACACAGGATGTTGCTTCATCCTGTAGGGGACAGGTTCCATGCTTGAACTCCACAGCAAGCCTCACAGCTCCAGGTATAAGCTCCATGACCACACGACCACCTGGCTCCCATTCGCTAGCCTTTTGCATCCCGACCTGAGTATCCTCTCCACTGCAGCCACAGCGAATCTCCCAGCTGACCCGCTTTCTCCTGTGATCTGCCAACATGTTCCAAGTTCAGTCAGTTTTCAGGAAAAGGAGTTAACTGGGTGATCTATCTGCCTTGTAAGTCCTCTCAAGTGATGTAAGCAACATTCATTTCCAGATTTTGGTGCTTTCTCCAGTTTGTGAGCATGCTATCTGGAATTGAACCTGTATGGAATGGTGGCCCTGTAAAAGAACATTGTTTTTCCAAGTTCGTTTACAAAAGAAAAACATCTTCCATAAAAAAGTTACCCACGTTCCTTTGCAATTCCCTTCCTTAAAGGCCCATCCAATCCTCCTTGGGCCAAGGACCCAAAGGCCACTTGTGTGAACAAACACTGAGACACTGATTCTTGGAGAACAAGATTTGATTTTAATGCTGATCCCCACTTCTCACTGTCAGAATACCTGGGGAGAGGCTAGAGCCTAAACCAATCTGTATATGTAAAAATAAAGTAAAAACAAAAAACTTCATTTCCAGTAAAAATGGAGGGTAGCAAAGTAAGGTCTTTTTAGACCCAGTGCCAGAGTCCTTGGGGACCGACTTCTGGAGGAGCAGGGTCAGGTCCTTGTCTGCAGAGGGAGTCTGAGGGCCAGCTCAGTCAGGTGATTCATGTCTGGTTGTTTGCTTCGCTTCTTGATATATTCCAGAGTTTTCACCTAGGAAGAAAAAGATCCATCTTGCTTCTGGCTCATTCATAACTATCCCTGGAGCCTGGGGCTCTGACAGGTCAGCTATTATGTGAGTTATACCTTTTAACAGAGGGTAGGGAATCTTGAAGGAGGGTACAAGAGGAGAAGTCTGTTTTTGAAGCAAACCTTGGGTTGTAACATGCCTTGAGAATCAGATTTGGGTTGGGCCAGGAATAACAGGTTTTCATGTGCATGGTTTCTACGTAGAGGGAATGCCCTGAAGTGCCACGCCTCTTAGCAGTGGGAAGGGACCCAGAGGCATTCGTGGGTGTGGCCTTGGTCAAAGGGGAGACTAGGGCAGCCTGGGGTCCGGCCCCCCTCATGCTGCACGGCAGGCAGTGGCGCTGGGCGCGGGGCCCACGCAATGCCTCACCATGGTCCTGGTGTCCCCGCAGCCATGCCTCTGTGCCAGGTGCCACAAGTTGACAGAGAGCTGGTTAAGCCTGTTGTTTCGCAGGTCTCCGTGGGCCAGGATGCTGTTGAAGAAGGAGAGACCCAGCGAGCTCTGGCGCTTCAGGGCCTGAAAGAAAGGGCAAGTTCTGACCGTGGGCTCGGGCTGTGAATGAGGCCGAGCTAAGTCCTGTTGACCCTGGGCTCAAATGGGCGCTTGCTGCGTGTCTGCTGCAGGGCAAGGTGCTTAGCCTCCCGAGTCCTGCCTCTTTCATCTGTGACCTGAAAGTACAGAGTGAGGACCGGGTGAGAGGATTCACCCTGTGCGCCTCGCCTGTAACATGGAAGACACTCAGAGGCCAGTGGGTCAGGGAAGGAAACGATCAGCAGCAGCCAGGTGTGGTGGTGCACGCCTGGGATCCCAGCAGTTGAGCAGTTGGAGCACAGACTTGAGAATTGCCGGAAGTTTGAGACCAGCCTGTGCTACATAGTGAGACTCTTGTCAAAAAAAAAGGAAACAACTGGCAGTGAAAAGCCACCTCACTTCAATGCAAGCCTAACTGAGAGCCGAACGGCATCAGCGTGTCTCTTTCAGATGTGCCTCAAGCTGTAGTCACCATTCCTGCCCCGAAGGTGTGACAGTAAATACCAAGTGATAGCTTCTCATGAACATGTCCCCAAGGTTTGTTGCTGACACCCAGCTTCCCCAAGAACCAATTTACACCTAGATACCCCACATTACTAATTCCTTATTAGAGCAGAGCAAACCAGAGTCCCGGCTTTGAGGCAAAAGGAAAAGCCAACCAAAATGCAGCAACAGGTCAGCTTCCCAAAGGTAAATGCAGGCACCTAGAAAGCACACCAACAGGTGCGCCAGGCAGGTCATCCAGTGCTGGCCACTGGCGAGATAGTGTTTCAGGCCCTCGCTGAGGTCCTGCTTGTGCATCTGCTTTGCTCCCGGGCAGCTAAAGGGTGCAGACTTCAGAGTATGCCAGGGCCTCGGTGCTTCACACAACTCCTGACTGTCTGCAAGACAACTTGGTGACAGGTACACTAATGCTCCAGCATTCCATCCCCTGGCTGTTCATGCAGGTGGAATTAAGATGGGGATTTATGGACATGGGCCCAACAGATGACTTGGGCCCTTAAAAGCAGAAAGCAGTGGGAAGATGAGGGAGAAAGGAGGAGGGTCAGGGAGGTTTAAAGGACTTGATCCAGCATTCTGGTCTTTCATGATGGAGGAAAGGGCCTAAAGGATGCAGGCAGCTTCCAGAAGGTGAAACAGCCCTGTGGGCAACAGCCAGCCAGGAAGCAAGACCTCAGTTGTACAGCTACATGGAGTTTACATTCTTCCCAGTAAGAACTCTGCCAGCTAACTCCAAATTCAGTTTTGTGAAACCTGGAACAACCCGCCCAGCCAGTGCCAGCTTCTCACGTGCCAGACTGTCAAGCCATCACTGGGTACTGGTCTAAGTTGCTAAATCGATGGCTGTTGGGTGCCCAGCAACAGGAAGCGACATGCCCACTGTGCAGACAAGGAACCTGAAGCTCTTTGGGGCTAAGGAACATGCGCCCGGACCCTGCCAGGAGTTCTGAAGGGGACCTGAGCTCAGGCAGATCCTAGAGCCCAGGCTTGTGCCCAGTCTGCCCATACCACAGGCCCACCGTGGGCATCCTGGTCAGGAAGCAGCTGGGCTGACCAGGAAGAACCTCGTAGAGAAGTGAGTGTGCTCTGAGTGCCCCAGCAGCAGGCACAGGAGGGGAGCAGCACCTGCCAGGCAGACTTGCTACCTGGCTGGGTGTGGCCTGCTCTGGCTTCGTGTGTCCATCAGACCTCACTGTCCTGTGCCAACCAGGATCCTGTGCCTATCTGCTTCCCTTTGGAACTGCCCACGTCTGATGCCTGTTTTCTGCTAAGCTAAAAAAAATTCTGTTTCAGAACTAACAAAAAACATCTCCCCCGAGGGGCTGAGGATTTAGCTCAGTGGTTCTGCCGCCTGCCTTGCAAGCGGAAGGACCCAAGTCGATCCCTGGTACCAAAAAAACAAAAACAAAAACAAAAACCTCCCCCGAGAGAGGCCTTAAACTACATTTCACTGAAGTGAAGAAGATTTTTAAACAGTCAAACAAGGAACAATATCTAACTGGGGATTTCTCTGCCGCAGCACTCCTCAATAAGCATTTTATCCTAAAAAGCTCAATTCACAAGTGTTTTAATGCCATGGCCCATTAAAACACCACCAGAGCCATGAACAAGGGCTGCAGAGGCATGCCAGTGGACATCCCAAGACAGAAGCACACAAACGTGTCACAGTAGAGCCAGATCAGGGCCCCAGGCCATCGCTAGAGCTGCTTTTCCTGAGATTTGTCATTTCCAGGAAGCTCTAGGGGCCTGGATGCTTCCCGGCTCACCACACCCAAACATCTTCATACAGGCTCATGATTGAAACAGGGCTGACTCCTTTCTCAGAGGTCAATTCTGGAGCAGGGATGGTGCCCGCACTAGCAGATGGGACACATCAGCAGTGAGGCAGCCTCCCCTCAGTGGAGGGTTCCCAGTGACTGGCTGGTCTGGCACCAGCCTCAGGCTCCCGGGGCTGATACTGACCGGAAGACTCCCACCTGTGCCGGCGTCAGTACTGAACTTCGCATGGCAGTGTTGAAACAAGGGTGAAGTGTTTAGTTTCACCTTGATCCATCCATATTTTTCTAAAAAATGAGCGTATCTGGACATTTTCAGTCAAGTCCGCAGTTTTAATGCAAGATGAAACATCCCAGCTTTGCTATTTTTCAGAAGCCTTACAGAGTTACTGCCATCAATCTCCTCTTCCCTCTCCACAAAGGAAAATAAGGAGAAATATTAAAGCAGATTAGAATTATATGGCTGTATTTGTATTGTGAGCTGGGGCTGTTAGGCCATGGTCATTTAAAGCCAGCGGCCCTGCCGATTAACCCCGCTTGCTGCCTGAGTGTGATGAAATCGATTTTCAAATCAGGTGGCGAAGTTTTCGCGGCTGCCTCTCATCAAACCTGTTGCTGCTCTGAGAGGCCTCTGGACTAGAAGATGGAGGCAGAGCCCCTGGTTTTAGGAAAATGAGGTCAGAAGGAGTTTTCATGGGCGTGAGGAGATCTAATTGGTATAAAAGTGGGAGCAGAAGGTAAAGGGTGGTTCTGTTTCTCCCGCAAGGTACAAAGGCTCCCTTGTGAAAGCCGCCTACACAGACAGGCAGCAGGGGCCCTCACCCTCACTGAGAGGACTATGTTCATGAAGGGAGGGGAGCAGGGTAGGGAGGTGCCTTTGCTGATCCTCACTGGTTTGACAGACCAGCTTTCCTAACTGGGGTTACAACGATGTTCCTTCCACGGACCCCCAAGTCCCCTCTTGCATGAGCTTGCCCAGAGTTTGGCCCCAAGGGTCAGAGGGGCACACAATGCCCCCTTCTCTGGAAAGGGCCCTGCCACGTGCTGGGAGGTGCTAAGCCCCCAGGGCAGTGGTTCCGAGTCTGCTCTTTGAGCTACTAACCCTAAGGCTGGCCATTCAGACCCCTGAATTTGGCCGAGCTCAATGGAAATCCAGTCTCCAGCAAAGGCTTGAATACCTCGGAGAGAATGGGAACCCAGACATATACATGGGTCCAGTCACTCTATACACTGTGTGTGAGTTCTGTATCTATAATACAGTCAACTCACAGGGAATGGAAAACATTCAGGACAAAAACTGCATCTAAACTGGATGGGTATAGACTGACACAGGGTCTATGGGATCCAAAGCTGCAGAAACAAGCCATGGTCAGCACAACTGCAAGGGGACCTGGTAGTGAAGTTCTTCATCATGGAAAGTGCATGGAATTCAATCACCTGTCCATAGGGGAAGACGGGAAACCCATTCTGAAAGCACAAAGACATAGCTTCTGCCGACAGAACATATTTTGGGGACAGGCATTCTAGAAGGCTGCCTTGACTGTACCCACAGCTACCACTCTCAGTCCGTTTCCTCCTCTGTCAGTGTGACAGGCCTGTTGGGAGAATCAAATGAAACCACTCACGCAGAGCTCTCAATATGACAATGGGTGGTAAGGCTGGGAACACAGGCCCTCCTACTGCAATTGGATACACACAAGCCACTTCCGGATAGGTAAGAGGAAAGGCTGTGGTTGAGGACTCCAGAGGTCAGGCTTAGGAATCTAGGGTAGAATTTCTGCTATCAAATTTCTTCCGTCAAAACCATAAGAATCAGCCAAGCATGATGGTGCACACTTGTATGCCAGCACTCTAGAAGGCTGAGGCAGGAGGATTGCAAGTTCAAGTATAAGCCTGGGCAACAGCGAGACCCTGTCTCAAAATAAAAGATAGAAAAGGCTGGGGATGTAGTTCAGTGTGAAGTTCCTGAGTTTAATCCCCAGTACCACTGAACAGAACAAAACAACAAAACTACACACACAAAACGCAAGAATCTCTAGGTCTCAAACATGGTGCCTTCCTCTCACAGGAGCACTGCATGTGCTGAAAGAGCTCAGGAGTAGAAAACACAGGCTGTTATTTGTTCACCCTGTCCTGCTCTATGCTGGCTCTGTGTGGCAGGGGTGGGGAGCCAACATGGTGAGCAACGATGGGTGCCTGTGGCTGGGCTTATCCGAGACAATTGGTCATCCGGGCACAGGCAGACCTGCAAGCCTCTCTGCCATGGAGCTTCCGATGGAGGTGGGGGAGATGTATGGACGGCAGATACACAGAGCACTGCAGAAGTAAGTTGAGTGATCACGTGCACCGGTGATGTTTTCACAGGGAGAGGGAGGTGCGGGGTGTCTACCTGAGAGGGGTCGGGATGGCCTCTCTGTGGACCTGCTGTACTCTGGAGCTGAGATGTGAATGGTGAGGACCAGGCAGAGAGAACGGCAGGATCAAAGGTCATGGGGTGCTCGGTGAGAAGTCTGCTCATAAACACATTACTCCTATGAAATCCTTTCCCTTCCAGGATAGGCCAACATCCACCCACCTGAAACACGCTTTTCAGAGCCAGGCACCCACCTCGTCCTTGGCCAGGGTTTTCAGGTGCTCCAGGATCTGAGCCATCACTGTCTCGCACAGCTTGTTGTTTTCAGCCAGGAACTTAGAGTCGCCACCGTAGAGGCTGTCATTGGAGTCAACTGGTTGAACAAACAAGAACAGTGAGACAGGGCTGGGGATGTGGCTCAGCGGTAGAGCGCTTGCCGAGCATGTGTGAGGCTCTGGGTTCCGTCCCCAGCACTGCAGACAGAAGGCAGTGAGCACATGCCATGTGGACAGACACGAATGGCCAAAGCTTCCCAGTGGCCTTTGCGCCTTGAAGCTCACAAAGAAAGCACCTGGCCTGTGGGACAGTCGGGGCCACAGACAGTGGTGTAAAAATCACTGCTCTGGCCCATCCATGGAGGGCAATAGCAATAATCACCATGACCTCCAGAGCAGCTGCCAGGCACTGTTCAAGTCTTTGTAGTCTGCACAGCCAGTACATTAAAGAGCTGATGTGAGCATTTCCCCTTTACTGATGGAGACACTGAGGCTCACAGGTGGTCCCAGCTCGGGTGCTAAACCAGAAGGTCGGATTCCAAAGCCCAGGCTCTGAACCACTCCTCTGCCTTCTCCTTGGTCACCTCCTGTGAAAACCACTGCCTAGAGAAAGGCCAGCCCAGCCCACGACAGCCTGAGTGGGGGCTCCCTCAAGTGCTGTCAACAACCTTCACACACAGCCTGGCCTCCTCTTCTGGATAAGAAAAGAGACCGGTGTTTCCACTTTATGATACATTTTGGAGCTATTTCTGCATCCGCCTTACGGAGTTCATTCTTTCCATGATCACATCACCCCTTTTCCCCCTTTTAGCTGCTGTCACCCCAGACCCCAATCCCACTTTGTATGTGGCCACAAGCAGTGTTCTTGGGGAAGCCGGCTTCAGTGTGGGGACCTGGAGCCAGCGCAGCACTCAGTCGCCAGAAGAGGGACGTGCAGAGGCAGCTCCTGCCGCTTCCACCCTGATGGGGCCTCTTCGGTGTGCCACTGTCGCAGGTGGGGGGCATCTGATAAAGCAGGGCCAGCCTGTGCCTCTCGCAGATGTGGCCACATGTGCTCTGTACTAACCTAGCTCTGCGTTTAGGGACTCAGCTTGCTTAGCCGCTGGGATGTAATTTGTTGTGCTCTTCCTTCCTCATTTCATCACTGTCAGTAAAGAAGAGGGAAGGAGCCTGTCTCGTACTGTCACACAGTTACTAAGAGTCGATATGAGAACATGGGAGGGCTGTGAGGTTGTGCAAGTGAGGGACAAACAGCACAAGGTTTCATCTGCAGAAGGCTGTGGCTGACAGTGACACCACAGTGGACAGCCCTGTCACCCTCACAAGCTGCCTGCCAGGGTCGGCACAGAAATACTCACCTAACTGCTGGCTAAGGGCTACAGACCCAGGGAACCATGTGTAACAGACACCTCCCAGGCAAACCAAGAAAAGCTAAGGTACAAGGTCCAGAGATGGCCTCTGAGCTTTGAGAGCAGTAACCCTCAGAGGAAAATTCACAAATACATCACCAGTCAATGCTTCCAAAATAGAGTAATATGTTGGTTCACGAACGCTTCTGTTCCCCAACAATTTGGTTCTCAAACAAAAGCATTCGATGAAATTTTGCTTCTGCTCACAAACTCTACACGGGTGAGAAACATAACCAGGGCCACCTTCCCCACACAAACAACCGTGGCCATCTTCCCGAAAATCATGAAATTAAATTCATGAACTGAAGTACCACTGTATATTTATATGGCCCGTGGATCTAGTGCAAAAACTTCAAAAAAACAGAGGACAGGAAAAATTGATGAAGAAAAAATTTAAAAAGAAATGAACATCAGCAATCAAAGAACAGAATACTAAAACCAAAGAAAAGCTTTCTTATCAAAAACCTGATGATACTCAGCTTTGATTAGAGGGTTGGGAAAACTACTGGTGGAAGCATAATAGTTTGGATTAGTTATGAAAAGTTAGAATTGTCCAGTATCACTTCACACCTAGTAGAATGGTTACATTAAAAAAAGAAAAAAGGATGAGTGTTAGGGAGAAAGGGCAGACGCTGCTGTAGCCGGAGCACTGCTGGTAGGAATGTAACGAGGTGCTGCCACTGTGAAAGACCGCATGGGGTTTCTCAGAAATTAGGTGGTTGTAATCCCAGAACTCTGGGAAACCGAGCTGGGCAGGTTAGTGGGCTGCTGTCTCCAATCAATCAGTCAATCAATCAAAAGGGCTGAGGCTACAGCTCAGCAGGAAGGCCCTGGGTTCAATCCTCAGTCTCCCTCCCTCTCTCTCTCCCTCTCTCTCTCTCTCTCTCTCTCTCTCTCTCTCTCACACACACACACACACACACACACACACACGACCAGAATGACCCAGCAATTCTTATTCTAGATAAATGCCCAAAGAAACCGAAACTTGGCACTCCAAGATATCTGTACCCTAATGTTCACAGCAGCATTATTCACAATAGCCAAAAGATGCAAACAATTCGATACTAATATATGAGTGGACAAAAACAATGTGGTCTAGCCATTCCATGGAATATTATTCAGCCTTAAAAATGAATGAAGGGGGCCGGGGATTTAGCTCAGTGGTTTCGCCACCTGCTGCGCAAGCGCAAGGACCCGAGTTCAATCCCCGGTACCAAAAAAGAAAAAAAAAAGAATGAAATTCTGATAATGCTACAACATGGATGATACTTGAAGAAAGAGTATGCTAAATGAAATAAAGCCAACATGAAAAGACAAATATTGTATAATTCTACTCACATGAGGTTCCTAGAATAGGCAGATTCATAGACAGAAAATAGAACAGAGGTTGCCAAGGCCGGGGGGAGTTTTATTTATTGGGTATAGGGTTTCTGTTAGAGAAAAAAGTCTGGAAATGGATACAGTGATGTTTATACAACATAATATATTCGGTTCAAATGTTTTTTGTTTGTTTTTTGAGACAGGGTCTTGCTATGCAGTTCGGGCTGGCCTTGAACTCACTATGTAGCCCAGGCTGGCCTCAAACTCGCAGCGATCCTTCTACCTCAGCCTCCTGAGTGCTGGGATTATGGGTAAGCACCACCATGCCCGGTGTTGTACTCAATACAAATGAATTGTGTACTTAATGGTAAATTTTGTTATGTATATTTTATCACAATAAAAATATTTAACAAAAAAAGAGTCTTTGTGCCAAAAAAAAAAAAAATCTGACTCTTTTGACTTGGGAAAATTACTCAGAGAGTTATCCTAAGAAGCCCACAGGTGCTCGAAGATGTATGTGATGTTCACTGTCCTGGAGTCTATAATAATGAGATGAGAAGCAGCATAAATGCTTATCAACAGAGCAATCACAACGTCAAGCCCAGCCTGGGCAACTTAGCCCAACTCTGTCTCAAAAATAAAGGACTGGGATGTAGCTTAGAGTAGTAATTAATAAACAAACCAAACAGTTCTGATTAAATGCTTTATGTTACAAAGTACTAAGGAGACCATCAAAGTACATGACATATTAGTACAATATACTATTACCAAAAGGTAGCTGGAATATACTCTTAGAGGAACAAAACGGTATATGTAGGAGGCCTTACATATAAGCACAGAAGTGTATGTCCACATCTATTTCTTAATATATAATTTCCTAGGAACTAATTTTTTTCATTTAGTAAGTTTTTCATTATGTCAGGTATTTCCTGTAATCTGCCTGGATTCTTCGGGGGAAATGAGTAAGTGTAAACATACAGCAACTAACTGCAAAACAATTTCCACAGCTTTCTGTTCACTTCTAACTGGTATTTCAGGAGCAATGGAGCTTCGTTCTTTTTTTCCTAGCTTTTTATTCTGAAAAATGTCAAGGCTATAGAGAAGTAGATAAAGACACTACAGTGAGCACCTGCCTGCCTCTTACCTAGAATCACCGATCCAGAACAACGGGCTGGGAGCTGTCTCGCACACTCACTCTCTCTACGCAAATATGCAATTTTTATTTATTTTTTGCTGACCCATTTAAAAGTAGGTTGCAGACATTTGCTTAAGAATAAGAACTGGTTTCTCTGCTCCCAGATTCTGTCTGCTCGTAATTTCCAGCCCACTCCCTCAGGCCCACCACCTCTTTGGCAACTGCTCCCCTAATGTCCTGGGATTCTTCTTTCTTCTTCTTTTTTCTTTTTGTTAGTACAGGGCATTGAACCCAGGGCCTTTCCACTAAGCTACATCCCCAGCTCTCTTTTATTTTGAGACAGGGTCTTGCTAAGTTAAGTTGCCTGGGCCGGGCTTAAACTTTTGATGCTCCTGCCCCAGCTTCCCACAGTGCTGGGATCACAGTTGTGCACCACGATACTGGAGAAATTCACACTGGATTCCTAAGATGGCGCTTGCTGCTGAGCTGCAGATGCTATCTCCAGTGTATAGAGGATGACAGTTACTCTTGTAAGAGGAGAAAGCGTTTGATTCAGCCTCTCACCACCTAATTCTGAAGAGTGCACAACTGTAGCCAATGAAGGAATTTCTCGTGTCTGCTGCTCAGACCAAGAATAGCTCTGTGTATAAAGTCTCAGTCTTGCCCTGGGTTGATGCTGACTCTCACTCTGAACAGCCTGGCGCTGAAGAACAGGGCGGGACTGGGGCAAGTGAAGAGCAGGCAGCTCAGATTCGCACACGCGCAGGACGCTCCTTGCTGAGGCCTGCTCCTCACCAGTTCTGGGCTCAGACTGGGGACCCAGTAGGGGCACAAGGCTGGCCTGGCCCTGCCCGCATGGACAAGCAAACAGGCCACTGCAGCAGGGAGTGCTGGGCACCAGGAGGGGCCATGCACAGTCTCGGGGTCCGCAGATCTGAGCTTTGGAGGTAGGTAGTTCTAGGCCCTGAAGGTTGAATTCACTAGAGAGACTGGGGAAAGAGGGTGGTGGGCAGCGAGTTCTCTTCGCTACCATTGGTGGTCAGAGAAGGAGAAAGGAGTAAATTTGAGAATAAGAAGTAATGTGGTCAGGCCGGAGTGTAGAGCAGGCCTAGGAGTTCAGACACGGCCTTCGAAACGGGGAGAAATGGGACCGCTGGCAAATGGCCACCCAGAACAGCTCACGGCCTCTGCACCTGTCTGTGGGGTCACAAACCCGCATGCTTCAGGGCTCTGGGAGGGCTGTGGAAGAGTAAAGAGAGTAACGCTGGCTTCACAGAAGCAGGTGGGTTGTCCTCTGCCAACAAAGATCTACTCTATCTGCATATCAAATAAACAGACAATCAGTATCCAGGAACAGTCTTTACTTCTCCATCTCACACACTCTCACAAGCTTGCCAGAAAGGGCTGAGTATTGCTCCGGGTAATGTCTGAATGGTCTCCTTATTAACCTGGGAAGAAAGTGACTGAAGCATCTTTTGTGGACGCAAAAATGATTTAACCCTTCTTTTTCAGAAGTTTTAAGCTGAGCTGATCCTGGGTAAAGGGCTCCCTAGACAGGAAAGGAGGCAGGGAGTGAAAGCAGCACCCAGCCTGCCCGGGTGCCCTGGTCCTGCTACTGTTAAGACTTTTGTCAGGTCACAGCTGTGCATCCAGAGTAAGCAGCTGGCTGGGAAGAAGGAAAAGAAGATCCATCCCTCTGTTTGCATTTTTAAAAGCTACAAAACTAAGCACCTGCTCCTTAGATATAAATTCGCTCCCTTAGCGTACCTGGAAGGTCTTGTTCTGAGGCAGGATGCAATGAGCCTGCCAAGAGGAGAAAGGGTAGGGAGGAGCATGGCCCCGATAGCCCTAGGGTTTACAGGCCTATGTCTGTGTCTTTGGTCTGCAAAACCTTCTGCTGACCAGAGCCTTCCATGTACCTTTACAAAAGGAGAAATGAAACAGTAACAAGAAGGAAAAGGCATTCAATCTCACTAGCTATTCAAGTTTCATCATCAGAATGGCCACACTGAAAGAGCGGTATCGACAGAATGAATGGACCCTTACTTAGGCCTGGTGAAAGATTCAGCTCGTTTAACTGCTTAGGAAACAGGCAGAATGCTGAACATCAGCACATCCCATGAGCCAGCAATTCCCCTCCTAGGTGTCCACCTGGGAGTAATATGCTCTGAGACAGATATACAAGGATGTTCACAGCAGCTCTATTCATAACTGGCCCACATTGGAACTGAAAACATGCAAATGCCCAGCCCCAACGGAGAGGAGAAACTGCTGTGTTCATGATAGAATGCTATACAGCAAGGCAAAAGGATGAGCTACAGGGATACACAATACTGGCAAAGCTTACACATAATCCTGAGTGAAAGAAGCCACACGCCAAAGAATGCCTGCTAGACAACTTCATTTACATGCAACCCAAACACTGGCAAACTCACTCATCCTGCCAGCAGTCAGGAGAGTGGGCCTGGTGGGGGGTGTCTTCAGCGGAGCATGGGTCAGGGGTGCGGTTATGGGCCACACGAGCCCTGGAGTATGCTTCGTTGTTTCTTGGTCTGGGTGAGCTGGTTTGTGGGAGCTCACGTATGTCATGTTATAAGGACACTGCGACGTGTAACACAGGGGGTGGTGTCGCATCAGCCCCGAGTCCGTGGTGTGACCTGCACTTCTGGCCTGGAGCCCTAGAGTAAATCACAGTGTCTTCCTGGGTCTCCCCTTGTTCAAATATACACAGGGGACGTGACTGCCCATCTCACAGCAGGGCTATGACAAGTAAAGGAGAAAAAGGCTTGGAGCATCTGGAAACAGGGAGGTAGCACGTACCAAAGCTGAACATCAGCAAATCCCAGGAGCCAGCGACTCTCCTCCTAGGCGTCCACTAAGAGAAATGTGCGTCCCCTGGTCACAATGGCCATCCTCACTAACACTGGCCAGCTCCCTAAGTCACATCTGCATCGTCAGCCTCAAATCTCATCCAGGCACAGCCTAAGGGTCCTGGTGGAGGCTATCCTTTAGCACTGAAGATTTGGTCACTGCAATTTCCATGTATAGAGAACTTTTTAAAAAAACTCTAGAGTAGATAATTACTAGCCAAAGCACTTTTAATGATAGAGCCATTTTTTTAGAAAGCAAAGCTTGGAAGTGAGGGTCTGATAAGGACATACAGGCTCAGAGGGACAAGGCTTGCTTAGGGACTGTTGTGTGCATGGCATGGGGAGGCTGTGCCCAAAGCTGTGCCAGCCCATTCTAACTGGCCTTCTCCTTCCTCCACTGGCCCTGGGCTATGGGCTTCCGGGGCCTCAGTATCACTGGCCTGCAGGCTCCAAACACCTGTACTGGGACCCACTGGCGGCAGGTCAGGAAGGGGCCTGGACCAAAGCTCGTCCCTGTGCACTGGGCCATCACTGCAGTTAGTCTGTAGCGCAGTGACACAAGAGTGCTCCTCCAAGCTTGGCAGAGGTCAAATGACCTCGGATGCTTGTGAAACACAAATTCCCAGCCAGGAGGGGACTCAGAAATCTGGACTCTTAAGAGTGGCCCCATGTGTCTTAGAAGAGGTAAATTTAGCGAACCGCCTGACTAGGAGTTCATGGTAGTGGAAACATCAGGGGAAAGGAAAATAAAGAGGCAACAAAAATATTCTCTCTTCCATGGAATCCAAGCATGGAACAAGCTGGAGGGAAGGGACTCCACTACCTTTGTCTATGTGGTACAGATAGGTCTCCTGGCTCATGGCGGACAGCAGGTGCAGGACACAGGTGTAGATCCGGATTTTGTCATCGCTGTTGTCCTCCCAGGTGTAGTCCTGAATCACATTGAGAAGCTCCCGAACAAGAAACAGGACCCCGTGTTCAGGATGATCCTGGTGGAGAAGCAAAGCAGCATTAATACTCCTAGGTAGGGAGGAGGAGGAAAACCCACGTCAACACAGAAACCCCAGCCCCTCCCTTTAGCAAGTGCAGAGACATGAGGGTGCCAGTCACTTCGCAAAGGCAGCCTGGGTAAGCGACACAAGAAAACGACAAGGAGTTGTTTAAAGCCTAGTCAACCCCTCTGGGGGCTGACAGATGAGAATGCAGGTACCATCAGCCTAATAATGCCTGTTTCCAGAATTACTCTCTTATTCTATAATGGGGTAAAAAAATAAGTCCTGTTCTGTCAACTATAAAACAAGATTGCAGGTCTTGCAGCAGATCGGACAGCAGAAGCCGCCCTCAGGGTAAGCCCCAAACAATCACTGTCACCACTACAGGCACTGACTTTAAATACAGCCCTGCACCCCAGGATGCTCACCAGCAGTGACAGTCAAATTGTGGACACATTTCTGGGAAACTGGCACGAGTCTCAGATGCTACATCGCATCTAAGAAAAGGATCACAATGCACAAAAGCAGTGTCCATGCAGTTCCAGAAAGGTACGTGTGATTATGCAGCTCCCTGCTGAGACCTGCCGGACCCACCACAGGTCATGTGGGCTCCGCATGAAGAGTCCCCTCATTCCCTCCAGCCACACCACCGGGGTCACAGCAGGCACCCCAACACGTCAGGTGAGGAAGGTGGAACGAATGGCATGTGTGAGGCTGGACCAGTGTTAAGGGAAGCAGCGAAGCAAGGCAGCAGGGCTTGGGGACCGAAGGCGCTGTTACTACCCACATGGAAAGAATGCTATGGGGAAGGCACTGTTGGAACCGGAGGCCCCTGGAGCTAGAGGCCACCTGGCAAGAGATGTGGCCCAGAGTGGAGGGACAAAGCCCCTGCCAAAGCGTGGCTCAGGAGTGCTGAGGGATGGGTACCCCAGCATCTCCTCCCTGCCCCCAACCTGCCTCCTGTTGGCTGAGTGGGCCAGAAGTGAGCAGGCAGATCAGGGAACCCAGTCCCCAGAGACCAGTGTCCCCATCCCACAGTAGAACAGAAGGGCAAAGGACTCCACCGCGGGCCAACCCACATGCCAGGGATGCCCTGATCTCCTGCCCAAATGAATGTTCCTCCCGGCTGCGATCTTTGTCCCCCGGACTTGGGCCTTTGGTTGCCCCCAACCCCTTTTTTCAGTACTGGGAGTTTAACTACATCCTTAGCCTTTCAAAGACACTCTTGACAGAGTCTCACTAAGTGGCCCAGGCTGGACTTGAACTTGAGATCTTTCTACCTCAGCCTCTGAGAATGCTGGGATTACAGCATGAACCACCATGCCCAGCAAGTCTGTCATTCAGAAAGAAGACATGGAGCATGGGAGGTGCTTCTGCCGAGGGGGCTGGAAGAGAACAGCCGCTTAATCCAGACACAGAAGCGACACCGTCCATGCAGGAGGACAGTGGTCGGGGGCGTGAGGTGTTCTGCACAAACCATCGCATCTCTGGGGACTGCTCCCATGACACTGCCAAGAGCAGGCCACGTGAGGCTCACAAGCCTGAAGGCCACAAATGCACACATCAGAACTGCTCAGGCCACGGCACCTTCCATCTAGAGCAAGCCCAGTTGGCAGCTTACTGCCGCCTGCCTCTGCTCACAGCTGTTTCTAACTAGGCTATTTTGTTCTGCTATGTACATGTTCAAAAATATATTTAAGGGTCTGCCTTGGGAACAGACAACAGTCTAAATGTTCTAGCAACTTAATTTCAACCCAAATGCCATGGCCCTTGCAGACCATTCGACACACTTTCAAAAAGACGAAGCAAGGGCCAGTGGGGAAGGGAAGGTTTGCAGCAAGCCAGTTCCATGAGCTTTTGCTCATAACCGAAGAGGAGAGAGATTATTCCAACGTGCTGTACAAGGAAAAAGTTTTCTACGTGATAGCCATGCTTCAGTAGTTGTAATGTGTTTTTTTAAATTTTTCTTTGATAGTTCAGTGCCAACAACTAAAGCAAAACAGAATGCAGTGTTTAAAAGGAGAAGAAGAAGGTCTTAGATTCAGCCAGCACTTGCATGGGGGAGGGCTCCCCTGGTGTCCTGGGCAGGCTGCCTTCTGTGATGGGGGCTCCCAAGGCAGCCTGACTTGGACCTCTAGTACTGCCTCTGTGGTCTACAAGAACCCTCCCACTACACCCCACTGCCAGGAGAAGCAACGCCTGAGAAATGACTGACCTCCCAGGAGAGCCAATGTGGCAGACAGCAGAGACAGCGGCACAGCAGACATCCTGGCTTCAGATCCTGGTGGGGTCATTTACTAGGTGGGGACCTTTACTTCTCTGTGCCTCAGTTTCCACTTCTATGTAATGAACACAATATCAAGCTTGTTTTGAGCGACTATTTGGGAACCACTGGCTGTAGATCATAAGAGATCTACATGTTGGTTAAGTAATAAGGCCTATTAGCAAAGAAGCGAGAAGTGAAGCGCGCTGGGAAAGACAGGAAAGGAAAGGGGTGCTGAGCAGAGGCAGATGGGGGCCGGACTGTCAGCTTGCTGCTTGCTGTGGAGCTGGCCTGTGTGTCTCTCCAGCACCCTCTGCACTTGAGCCAGTTCTGGGGGTGCACTGTGCCCTTTCCCAGCTCAGGGCCTTCACCCACACTGTGCCCTCTGCTCTCCCCCTGCACCTAGCAAGCTACTGCCTTGTCTTCCTTCCTCAGATAAATGCAAAAGGGAAAGGGGCCTACACACGAACGGAATGCTATTTGACCTTAAAAAATAAAGCCTACAGCATGTCACAACATGGATGCGCCTTAAGAGCTTCATCCTAAGTGAAACAAACCAGTTTCAGGACAAATACTACAAGAATCCACTTAGATGAGGAACCTAAACTTGGGGAAATAGAATCAGGGAGCTAGGGTGTTGCAGCGGAAGGGAGAGAGGGAGGGGGAGCTACCACTCCACAGGCAGAAAGCGTCGGTCAGGACTGAAGCCAAGTTTCACTCTGAGGATAAAGCTTCTGAGAGAGACTTGTCATTTTTAACAGGCAGAAAACCCTACGTGTAGCCGATAAGTACATCCCAGTTCATCACTGAATGATGACTTCCATCAACTGCCTCATTGGAAACTCAAGGTTTTTCCTTTTGTCCCCTCACTTAACAAATAACCAGACTATCCCAAAGAAGAGAGACTTATTATTCCAGGGATGCAAAAGCCCTGGAACCAAGCATTCTGTGAAGGAATTCTTGCAGTGCCCTGCTGCTGTGTCCACCTGACTGTATTGTCCTCTCCTCCTGGGTGCGGCCTCCACCTGTGGCCTGTGCTGCAGTCCTGGAGCGAGGCCTCCTGAGCTTCTCTCCTGAGAACTTGGACTCTGAACAAGGACAGCCTGCAGCTGAGTCGCTATTTGTTTTCTCAGCTTTCTTGAGAAACATAATCCACACACCAAACAATACCCTCGCTTCAACTGCACAATTCAAGGACTGTTAGGGCAGTTGGGAGTTTGCAGTCATCACATTGATGGTAGAACATTTCATCACCCCAGAAGGGAACTCTGCACCCCCAGGAGCTGAGTCACTTTCCTGGCCCAAGTTCTGAGTGATGCACTCCAAGCTGGCGTTAAGATCGCCCTTCTCCTGAGCTGCAGAGGGAGTTCCCAAAAAGGCCGATTTGAGGACTATTCTGGCCTCCTAGGGAGACTCTTTGGGACAGGACCCAGGAATCTGCATTTTTACAAGTGTCTCATGGTTCAGATCCACATTTGGCCCAACCAGGGATTTTAAACGTGTTGTATGTAACCAACTCTGGAGCAGCCAGGTAGGGACTATGGTAGGGATTCCTGGGAATATTTTTAATACGAAAAATAAAACATGGAAGACTACAAAGGAAACCAATTACCCTTGTGAAAATATCTTTTCCAGTGTATCTGTGATATTATAGTCTGTTGAGTCTTGTGAATGCATTCACAGGCCTGGCACTAGAATAAACTACCAAGGTGCTTTTTTAGGACAGAAGAGCTTGGACAGTCTCTGGAAATGTCTTTCACACATGCAATGTGACAAGGAGATATTTGTTGATTTCTTTTGGTGACAAAGTCTCAGCTTCTTGGGGTGGGAAGGTAGGGGGTGAAAAAGGAATCAAGATGAGTTTTGTATGTGTACCAACTCCCTGCAATGAATGTATGGACTGCAAACATGTACTCGTAAAAATTAAAATTAAAAAAAGTCTCAGCTTCTGCCATGATCACTGTAGTTTGTTGCCTCTAATTCATAACTGGGTGAGAGGCAAATTTCATTCTGAGGTTTTTGAGAATAAAAATGTTATTTTTTTTCATCAAATTCATGATCACTCTGCCAGACCCCCAGGGAGCAGGTAGATCCCAGATTAAGGACCCTGAGCTAAGACCCTAAGATTCCCAGCTCTGGAGAGGGTCCAGGATTGCTGCTGCTGGTCCCAGAAGGAGGCTTGATTTCCTTTAGCCCAAGCCTGGGTGCTTATCTCTTATATCCACCAAAAACCCAGCATCCTTTCAACAACATCTTTCAAGCCCTGCTAGCTTGTTTTCAGCTCTGTTACTTTCTGTCTAAAGAACGTCACCATCATTTTTTTTAGTGCTTACTACGTGTCAAGTCTTACTATGGATCTCACTCTGTGTATTCACTAACCCAATCCTCATGAAAATCCAGTGTGATATAAACTATTCCTACTCTCCCTTTAGAGACAAGGAAGCTGCAGCCCAGGAATGTGACTGCCAAGACTTCAGAGCTGGGAGGAGGAGGCGTGGGACTCCAGCCCAGCTATGAAGTCCCCAGGCTACACCCTGACCACCAGGCATCGTGCCTTGCAACACAGAGGGTGCAGACCAAACATCTGGGTCCTCCCAAAATGCAAACCTGGGAACCCTAATCCCATGTGGCAGTATTTAGAGGTGGATTAGGTCCCAAATGACCAATGACCCAAAAGGCCAGAGAGAAGACCTGGCTCGGTTCCTACCATGTGAGGATATGACCAGACGATGGTGGTCTGCAACCCAGAGAGGGTCTTCCGCAGAACCATGCGGCAGGCGCCCTGTTGTGGGGCGCCAGCCCCCAGTGAAGAGCCAGCTTATGGTTGTTGCAATAGCTCACAGTGGCCAACACACAGAGCATCCAAACCGGTACACTCCAGACACGGGTGCACCCCAACATCTGACCAGAAAACCAAAACACAGTAGACAGAATATCCTGCACTTTTCTTTTCTCTCCTTGTCCTTTTTTTCCCTGGCACTAGGAATCGAACGCAGGGCCCATGCACTAAGCTACATCCCCAGCCCTGTCTTTTGAGATGGGGTCTTCCTAAATTACCTAGGCTGGGCTCGAATTTTTGATCCTCCTGCCTCAGCCTCTTAGAGGGCTGGGATTACAGGCATATGCCACCACGCCCAGCCACCCTGTACTTTTAGGGATAAATAAGGCAGGTCAAAGAATGACATCCCCTCTGGCTCTCAGGGGGAAACATACCGGAACTATCAATAAGGTAGAGAAGAAATTGCAGAGAAATTCCAGTAGGAATGATTCCGACGGCCGCATCTTTCCATCAATATTTATCATCTTTGGAACTTCTGGAATGAGGCTTATAGCAGCTTTAAAAAATGCATCAGCTGCAAGAGAGAAGAAAAGTCAGTGCGTAAGAACTCTTGGAAATGCAGCCTGGTTCCCCCTTCATGGTGCCTGGCAGAGGTAGTCCTGAGAAGTGTATGAGGTCCTTCAGGTCCAGCTGAGCATCTGTCTGCAAACCAGAAGGAACTCGGCACATTTGGATCAGAGGGCGTGGCTGTTGCTACCACAGGTCCAGCTTAAAGATCCTCGGCTAAATTCCCTTTAGAGTAAGTGCAAAAAGCGGGTTGGAAACTTTTACCGGAAGTAGAGAAGTGACAGTCACCAGGGCCAAAGGCTCAGCCCGGATTGGTTCTGAGAATCACCATGTGCAGGAAGTGCTATCACCAGGGCCACTTCACAGGTGGGAAACAGGCTCAGGACAAGGAGAGACACATCCTAGGACCCAAACCCTGGTCTGCTCAAATCTTTTCTAGTGCTCAGCATTTTACTAAAGAAATAACCACTGGGGCCGGGGATTTCGCTCTGTGGTTCTGCCACCTGCTGCACAAGCATAAGGTCCCAAGTTCAATCCCCAGTACCAAAAAAAAAAAAGAAAGAACCACTGAAGTGTCTGGAAAAAATGGACACGCCCAGGTGCACAGATACACACGACTGCACACATTCACATGCACACACACAGACACGTACACACAATGCACCTTTAGAGCCTTCTGACTGGGTAACAGTTCCAAAGAAGTTGGGAAATAAAGATATATTAAGAGCGATAAAATAACCTATTAAGAAGATTTCAAAAGATAGGAGAAGGGAAAAAGGGGTGAGGGGCTGAGGGGGTGGGGGAGTGCGAAGGACTGGAGGTGGGAGGAGGACAGAGAGGGAGAGTTCTTCCTAGAACTGGCAAAAAAGCCTCAAGGTCAAGCACTGACCTGACAAATGAAGACTTAAACTACCTGATGGGATCAGAGGTGCTCCAGGTCCCCTTGCACTGAGACAAGATAAGTTCGAGTGACAAAGGCACAAGGGCCCCTGAGAGTCCTGATGCCTGCACACCAGCAGCACCCGAGCTGGGACAGAGGCCAGGGTTACAGAGAAGGGTATGTGTCTGTAGCTGGGTGGGAGTTTTCTCCACCTCTTGACATAGGACGTATGATATATGGACCTCCGAGTAATATAAGGGAAATATTGTAACTCCCAACCTGCTAGATGTCCGACACGCCGAATTTGTCTTCTCTAAAATCGAACAATGAATTCTAGGAACAACGGAGGCTAAGAGTGGGAAGAATCTATTGAAAGATAGCTTCTAAGAGACAGAAGGGGGTCTGGAAAGTAAGTTGCCCACAGACCTTGCTTTTCAAGGTGGGACAAAACTATAGCCAACTAATAAGATTACAAGTACAGTCACTTAGGTAATACTGATCCAGTGGGAAATCACAAGGTGGGTATGAGGTGGGACACAACTATGGTCAATCAATAAGATTACAACTAGTCACTTAAGTAATGTTGATTAAATGGAGATCAAATGAGGAAGCAGCTCACATAGCAAGCTTATGTGGAAGGACAAGGATTTCCTGAAAAGGATGGCTCAAGGACCTTTCTGGAAGGGGTGGGTTAAGGTCTTGGTTCCTCACCCAGGTTACTGATGCCTATTTAGAATATCAATCACTGCTGCTCATGCCTAATGGAAGTACGTGGGTGTAGTCATTTCTCTTTGTCTTGAAGACTGGCCTTCAGTAAATGCGTCTCTGGTCACAACTGTTTTTTACAGACTTCTTTGAGGGCCCTGCCTGGTCTAATTGCCTATAATATTTTTAACTTGGCTGACTACAATACTCTTTCTCTTCATAGGGAGAAGTCAACATGAAGTGGAGAGACTCCTTCTTCCAGAGCTCTTTGTACAAAGTGAGCTCTGCTCTGGCGACCTCCTCTCCTGGCTGCCACCCACATCCGACGGGCATAGCCTTGCCACACTCCCCTAAGCACAGTTACTGAGCACCAGCTGCAAACAGGAACACTCATGGGTACTGAGGATACTCACAGGGAGAAAAGCAAGTGGAAGAGTTGACAGCATGAGTGGGTACGGTGGCACAGGCCTGTAATTCCAGCACTCGAATCACTGCCAAGTTCGAGGCCAGCCTGGGCTACATGGTGAGTTCAAGGTCGGCCTGAACTACATGGTGAGAGTCTGTCTCAAAACAACAAAAAGGTGACTGCACAAATATGGCTACGTGACCAGACCATGTAATCACACTAATTAGTACCTCAGGGCTAGGAGCCTGCTCTGTACTTTGGTCTGAGGAAGAAGTGCAGCAGCTGATCTCAGCCTTGTAGGGGGACAGAGATTAACTATAGGTCCAGGGGAAAGGCACTTGATATTGGTCCTCTCAGAAAGAGCTAGGGGCTTTGAGGTCTTCCATCTTGATGACAAATACCAGTAAAGAGTATTTGGTGGTGGTGGGGTACTGGAGACTGAACCCAGGGCCTCCACACCGAGCTACATTCCCAGCCTTCTAAAAATTTTGAGACAGGCACTTGCTAATTTGCTAAGTTGCCCAGGCTGGACTTGAACATGTGATCCCCCTGCTTCAGCCTCCCAGAGTACCGCACTGTGCCCAGCTTTTGCGCACAGGCTGCAGGGGAGGATGCGGCACTCGAGACAGAGGTGGTGGGAAATGCAGCAAGTATGTGAAAGCTGACTATGTGCTATGCACCCTGCTAAGGTGCAGAGTTCGCCTTGTCCTCAACAATGCCACGAGGTGGTTGGCCCAGAGAGACGGGATTTGAAGCCAGGTCAGACTGTGAAGTTCAAACTCTCCAACCCTCTCGATGTGGCTGCTTTGGGTAGTGGTTCCTGTCAGAGACAAGGGAAAGAGAAAGCCATTCTTTCTGACGAATCTTTGTGTCCTTTTATTATAATGTGCAATTCATCGCTTTCTCTTTTTGCTTTGGTTGCTGGGAAACTCACAGCTAGTTTTCCTTTGACTGGAAAAACGCACCTCAGCCTTACATGTCTGATTTAATTATTCTTTAATCTCAGCCCTTGTGTTTGTGATTTTTGCTTTTATCACATCAAAACCTTTCAGTGTAAAACTCACCTTAAAATCAGGGCAACCCACTTTCCGGTCCCCCTTCTGTCCCTCTTAGAAGCTTTCTTTCTCTCAATAAAGTTTTCCTACTCTTAAAAAAAAAAAAGTCACCTTAAATCAGGCAGGGAAGCAGGTTGAGCAGAAATACTTAGGACACAGTATGAGCTGCAGGGGATCCTCATGGGCTGGGCTAACCACCCCTCGTTGGCCTCTGAAATGGATTCCCCTACTCCCCTTTTTTCCAGGAAGGCAGAGGCTCAGGTGGGCTTAGGGTGGCCTGTAAGAAGCTTTACAGTATAATGGTTTCCTTGCCAGCACCCTCACATTTCAAAGGCTATCTGACTCGGCATTCAGCAGCTGAGCTCAGCAGCACCCCCTTAACCCATAGAGTGGTTATAGTTAACCAGATAAAATGAGAGCTCCGAAGAAGATCTGAAAACAGCAAAAAACACAACTCAATTTAAAACAGGCAAGGAGCTGGAAGGCATTCCTCCAGAGAATACATGCAAGAGGCAAAGAGGCATTTGAAAAGATGTGGAAATTCTCCAGTTATCAGACAAGTGCAAATCCACACCACAGAGAGAGATACCACTTCCTGCCCACTAGAAGTATGAAGTAACTATGGATGGATAGATGGTTGGTAGGAAGGAAGGGAGAAGACAAGAAGGGGAAAAAAAGACAAAGTTAAGGAAAAAATAAAAGAACAAGTGCTGCTAAGGGTATGGAGAAACTGGGAACTTTTTGAAGCTGGTGGTAACGTATGTAAAATGCTGCAACTCCTGAGGGAAAAATCTGGTGATTCCTCAAAGATTTAAACCCAGAACTACTATCTGACTCAGCCATTCCACTCCAGGTGAACACCCCAAGTAACTGAAAGCAGGACTCACAGGGATAACTTGGCACCAATGTTCATGGCTGCATTATTCACAATCGCCAAAAGGTGGAAACAACCGAAGTGTCCACCAATGGATGAACTAATAAACAAAATCCGGTCTGCCCATAAAATAAAATATTACTGAGCCTTAAAATGAATGAAATTCTAACCCATGCTACAACACAGATGAGCCTTGGAAATATTATGTTAAGTGAAGCACATCAGACATGAAAAGATAAATGATCGCCACGAGCCCACTTGTATGAGGTACCCAGAACAGGTAAACGCAGTGACATAGTAGACTGGGAAGGGGAAGTTACTATCTAAGGGGTGGTTTCACCTGTGTTTGGGATGATTGAGTTCTGGAATAGGATCACACGATATTGCGAAGGTACTTAATGTCACTGAACTATGCACTTAAAATGTAAATTTTTGTACACTTCACCACAGTAAAATAAAAGATTGAACCTACCTGGTGTTACCCCCTTAGCATTAGTGGATGCCCAGATCCCACCAGGACGGGCTGCCTTCCTCTTTCAGGAAGAGCCCACTGTCCCCATGTTAGTGATGGTGGTGGGGCTGCTTTTGAGTAAAAACTTTGCAAACATCACAAATCAAGGCCAAGAGCTCTTCTCAGTGGGAACGAAAATTCTGCTCCAAGCAACATGAAAGACCATTTTTCTCTATTTATGTGTTCATTACTGAGTGGTGCAGAAAATGTGCCTATTCTGTCTCATTAAAGAGAGAGCAGCTTTGTCTGTGGCACTTTGCCTCTCTCACCCACCCCACCCAGTTCCCATTCTGCAGGAGGGAGCGAAAATAAGCAGTTATTTAGGGGTTGGGCATGCAGGGTTCCAAAGTGGAGTTTCATTTCCATCCTCAACAGGCGCGCCCCAGATAGAAGACACTGCCTGGGAGCCTTCTCAGTGTTGTTATCTTTGTAATTATAACTCAAATCTAACTAAGTGAAAACAGGTTTTCCTCATAGTTTAGGGTTCTGAATACTCTCATCAACATCGCATTTTCTTTCTCTCTCTTTTTTTTTTTTTTTAGAACTGCAAATTGAATCCAGTGCCTGAGCTGCACT